AACCCCCCCCCCCCCCCCCACAAATCAAGGATGAAGCCGCGCGAAGGGCAAAAACGCGCCATTTTCCCATCCTTGATTTGGGGGGAGGGGGGGGTCTAGGTTTTCCATTTATTTTGTCCAAGATTGTAGTCTTAGATGAACATAATCTTCTTAGTTTTCATTGGCGCTGGAACCGGCAATGACAAAGCACCGTGGAAAAACAAGAAATTTGGCCGGTCGTTTCAGCCTTAACGGAAGTTGAAAAAGTACCTTTTGGCCTAGCTGTTTATCGATGTCTTAGTAAGGAGATATTTCCTTCTTTATGAAAGTCTTTGCTTTGCTTCCTTGTTGTACTTCCTTATCAACAAAAATAAAAGAAAGAAACCCAGCACGAAGACACGCTCATTTATGAAGAAGCACTGAACGGCAAAATGGTAAGATGACTTATGTCCTTATGCGGTTCAAAGTTTTAGGCGAAGTCTAGTAGGATATTCATTATTCAATTAATATAGTCGTACTGTTCTTAGTTAACCGATCGGCCAGTGTGTACCATCTCATACAGAATATACCGTTAACATTATACGTGACGTTATTTTATAACGAAACGTCATTCTGGCATCACAGGTTTTTTTAAATTTTTTGTTTTATGTATTTATTTTATTTATTATTAATACTATTATTTTGAGAACACAGTAACCGTTTGAAGTTGTTTGCTTTGTTTCAGAGTTGTTCAACTGCTTTGATCACAGTTTCTGGACTGTTGTTATACGTACTTTATAATTCTGAAGCTTTAGTGGTAAGTTTTAAGTCTTCGTTCCAACTGAAGATGATTATTTTGATATAAATTAACTAGTGCGCTACATTACGAAAGGATTGAAACTCCTAGTAACGATAGGTTCTGTAGAATGTCCTCTCTACCTTAAAGCATAGAACTATTAAAATAGAATGCATGGTTATGATTTCAAACTTGCTGACCAGTAGAAACCTGATCACATTAATTTATTCAGTCACAATTTGTGAACAAAAAACAAAGGATTGTGCAAGGTCAGGGAGCTTCCAGCATAAACTACCGGCACCGTTGTTTTCAACTTTGATATTTTCCGGCTTTCCTAACTAGTCTCCTCTACTGACTATGTGTGTTAAGGAACCTCTTCTCTTCATTAGCTTTTCTTTTATCCCATATACTATGGCGGCATAAGTGGCGTGAGGTCACGTACAAAAGGCGAGTCTTTTGGTACTGTATTGTACAAAATTCTTATCAAAAAGTTTTCCTACCTTAAGATATAATTGAGGTGTCATTTATTCGCTGGCATAAATAATACAACCAGTCTGGAAACTAGTAACCCTTTTCATATTATGCGGTATGTAACAGGTAGACTCGCTAGGTATAGAGTACCTCACCTGAAAAATCCCGTTGACACTTGACGCATCCACCGTACATTTTCCCACTGAAAACAGAGCAAATAGCGACAGGCAAAACGTTTCATTACTGCCAGCAGCAAAACCTCAAGTTTTAACTACCATTCAGGTCATGAAAATGAAAGTTAAAAAAACAATAAGAAGAAAGGAAATCGAAGAAACTACAACAGACAAAGATATTAAGGAATTTATCAGCCGAGAGCAACAAAAACAAACCAGTTAACCAGTGCTGCAAGGACAGCTGAGGTAAATCCACACTTCGAAACAACGAGCCTGATTGAAATTTTGCAGAAACATGGAGAGCAGCTCTCTTGCCATTTTCTTCGGGATATAGGCCAGTCAGTAAAGTAAATAAAGAAGACAGAGGTGAATATAAACTTAATTCATCAGTGACGAGCAAAGTCCATCATTTGGACTTTTTTTACAGGGGTTATTACATCTAGCATTAAATTAAAGAATTTTCTTTCAGTTTACCTGTGATGTCGACGTTTCCTTATTTTACGCCGTCATGATATCCTAAAAAAAAAACAAGTCACGAGTGGGATATTTCTCGGTACGTCCACTCGAAAGTTCTATGACTAGTTTATAATACATGTCACACGCGTCCACTAAAAGATATTCTCTCCATACCGTTGAATAAATAAAATAAAGAGTGAAACATTGCTGTTTTTGCCGAGTACGTCAACGAGATCCAAATGATCGCGCATTTGATTATGTTCATATAGTTATTTAGGCGCACTAAATTTTTAAATTATTATTATTATTATTATTATTATTATCATCATCATTATCATTATTATTATTATTATTATTATTATTATTATCATCATTATTATTATCATATATTTCAACCTAATCTTATACTATTACTAATTTTGACAG